TCTCTTGTCGTTTTTCGAAAAGCGTGCGTTGTCTTTGTGCTACGCTCACAGCTTCGTCATTGTTTTAGCAGTGGTAGCCTTCTTCCTTGGTTTTTTTTGTTACTTCTTGCCAATTTTCCTCACATGGATCGTCATTTGGTTTCAGACTTTTCGGTTTTTCGACCTTTTCAAGTTGTTTCACCAATTTTTTGGGTTGTTCGACGCTATGGTCTTGCCATTGATTGCTGATACTCGCCACGCGCGTGCGTTTTACAGAAACCGCCGGCTCCTCCTTCTTTTCGGTTAGTTGCACTATTCGCGCAACTAACTTTTTATTTTCTGGTCTTTTTCCTTGATTTCATTACGGAGTTCTGTCAACTGATCCATGAGTGCCTCAATCTGCTTGTTGTGACTCGTTTGCATCTCATCCATTTTCTGGATGAGGATTTGCAGGGTTGATACTTTTTCTTCTCTGTGTTTCTTTTTGTCTGTCTCAGGTCTTTGGCCTGGACTGGAGCATGGTCTTTTTGTAGTTCTTACGTCCTTGCTGCGACGAGCAGTGTAGATGTTTTCGTGGTCGAACAATTGCCGTTTTGCGTTAAAATCCGCGTTAGATTTTTTATCAAAGTTTGATGTGAAAGACTGAAGGTCAGTCGCATTATTACTGTACTCGTTGTCTGATATCTGGTTATACAATTGTGCGTCCATCTCAGAAATGGTCGGAGATGGAGGGACGAAAGAGATTGAATCGGGAGCTGTACCATGAGGTACATACTCTACTCGACACTAGGGTTGGGTAGGAAGGAAACAGCGACTTGAGCGGAAAACTCGGTGGTTTCGTCAGAAACCGACATCATTTCAAATCTGTCTAGTTAAAACGAACTCTGTTTTTTGTTTGTCCACCCGACACGTGTCGAGATTCTGGGTGTCGTCCCAGACCCTGCAATACGGTAGGTCTCTCCTGTTTCCAGGAGTGATCCACTTACGTTCTCGCTCTGCATGCGCAGGGGCCATTTCTGCCCGACCTAGGTTCAAAACTAGGCCTTACAGTGTCAACCCTGTCGACACCATGCAGATATCTCGTATTTTCTTCGAGAATGCTATTTATTATAGCCCTCCGAGGGAGGCCTATAAATACAACCTCCCTGCGGTTTAAGCTAGTAATAGAATATTATTCACTCTTCGCTTTGAAGAATTACTAGTGCCCAAGCCACTTACGGTGTCTTACAAGCACCGTTGAAGCTAACAAGCTTTGTTAACTCAGGTCAGTAGAAACTCTCCAAAGCACGTCTTGACTGTTTAGCTACTCGAGCTGAACTGATAGAACTCAAAATAATATTGTTTGGCGTTTCTTATTTTTATATTCCCTTATCGGTCATAGCGCTCCTCGCCTATTTCACGCATATACCACATACTTATACACGTATAATAAGTAAGGAACTTTTTGTCTACACTAGAAGTTATCTAGAAACTGGAAATAATTTATAAGGCAAAACAGCGTTTGCCGAGTTAACTAGTAGTTTTATTAAAAATACAAATATTAGTATTTTATGTATTTTATATGGAAATAAAATATAATTCATTTTAGTGAGTTATTATTTAATATGGGATTAAACTACAATTGATTGCAATAAGAATTTCATTTAACATTTGTTTTATTGTTTTGATTTCCAATCCGGAAATTAAAAAAAAAACTTTAAAATAAACGATGTCAAAACATTTAACCCGTAAGACTACAAATTAGTGATATCGACCTTCGTGCAAAACGAGACGACTTTTCCACTATTAAGTATAGACTGGCAGAATACCTTTATAACACTATATGGCGAAACCGACACAATAACACTGAGATCTTCTTCTTCTTCCTCTTTATAAGCCATTTCGCTTGTTCATTGAAAGCTTAATTTTTAAAGACGCTCTAAAAACTTTTGATGAATGCATCTCAATAAATGTAGTCAAGCTTAATAACCTGCAGTATACAGATGATACAATAGTGTTTTTCAATACCATAGATGGGCTGCAAAAATTAATGAACAAAATAACGGAAACAAGTAGAACATATGGACTGGATATCAACACCAGCAAAACCTAGCTAATTATTATCAGCAAAAAAAACATAATTGGAGCTGGAACTGTATGTGAACCAAATGAGAATAAATAAATGTGCCTCACAATACAATTATTTGGCAACTATAATCAATGAGTGGTGAAACAATACCCAAGAGATTAAATGTCGCATCGGAAAGGCAAAACTTGAATTCTTGAATATAAGCTCTGTGTTCAAGAACCATAACCTCACCATAAAACCAAAAATTAGGCTCCCTTAATATTACGTGTAGATAACCAACGAGACCGTATTACGAAGAGTGGGCAAAGAAAGAGAGGTGATGTATACCATTAAAAAGAGAAAGTTGGAATATCTCGGACATATAATGAGAAACAGCACTAAATACAGATTACTGAAGGTAATCCTACAGGGTAAAGTATTCGGAAAGCGAGGAATTGGGAGAAGGAGAATATCATGGTTGAAGAACCTGAGGAAAATGGTTCTCCACAACAACAACAAATCTATTTAAAGCAACAGTCAATAAAATAATTATAGCCAGAATGATTGCCAATATTCGGAACGAATAGGCACTGAAAGAAGAAGAATATTACGTGTACTCAGTGCTTCTGTACGGAGTAGAAACGTGGACACTGAAGGCATTTAGATCTATCTTGCGCTGCTGCAATCTAGTTGAAGATCCAGTTCAAATGTTATCATCAGATTATCACGTGAAGTACAAGATCAGCATTATCATAACATATCTTTTTATAATTAGTATACCTCCATTCACTTAATAATGTACTGAGCAAAGAAGGGGATATATTCTTATGAAACTGCCAGAAGTAACAGGATTCCGTCATATAGGTAAAGTGCCAAAGGATTCAGATGCCAAACCCATGAATAGGGGAGAATATTAGGAATTCATAACAAATTTTGATTTGTTATGCTGTCATCATTTGTCGGATCAGAACCATCTTAAATCGTGCAGAGATATAACAGAAAGAAAAAACAAGGGGTAACTGTACCATTTTCTGAAATCGTAAAACAATACAATAAACATATGGGGGAGTCGATTTGTTAGATAGTTACATTGGAAAGTGTAAAATTAAAATGCGGTCTAAGAAATGACATAAAAAAATATTTTATCATCTTTTAAACATCACTATAATAAACTCCTGGTTATTATATAGGAGGTCTAATTTTGAAAATCCGAGCATAACAATAGTTAAATGCAGATTGAAATTGGCACAAAGACTGTGTAGTATTGGGTCCTACCAAACATCTAAACGAGGCAGACCATCAAATGATGTACAGAGGGAAATTGAAAGGCAAAAAATAAAGCCGAACACCTCATCTCTGTCTCATCATCAGGAGTAACATTTTCCCAAATAGAATAGCACAAGAGTTTGTTGCACATTTTCTGGTTGCCATGCCCAAACTTACGTTGTTTGTAGAAAATGCGAAACAGCATAATGTTTCAACAAGAACAAGAACTGCTTTTCAGATTTTCGAAATAATTAATTTTTCATAGTAGATGTTACAATTGCGCAGTGATTCAAATATGAATCAACCAATTTCTTTTTTAAAATAAACCTTAAAAACTAAAAAAAAAATTTTTTTTTCCAATATCACACCTGTTTAAGTATTTCTTATTCCCTATTAACAAAATTTTTAATTGCAAAGAAAAAAATAGGGCATTATAGGGCTAATTTTTTTATAATTAAAAATAGTTTTAAAAGTGTCTTATGGCAAAAGTAAGACGTGATTAATTTTGTACTGTTCAAACCTAAGATTAATTTTAGTTTTTCTTTAACATTTGCCTTTTTTCAGGAGCTTCTTTATATACAACACTTGTCCTGTTCACTATACCACCAATTGGTTAACACATGTAGCAAGCCTACAAGCTATACCATCCTACTGGCTAGTACTACAATCAAGATATCAATATGATGTCTACAATCAATCTTTCAGTTTTAATCTCACAATCAACCGAAAAGTCTTCAATAGCTTTAAATATGCATAGACATATAATACAAGATAGACTGATATCCCGTTCTCCTAATGTGACATAGTAAACTTACGCAAAGCAGTACCTACTTGAAGTCCTTTGCAAAAGTGAAATAAGTTAAAATAACCAAGTTTTGAAGTCCTTTTTAAATAACCAATGAGAAAATCACGTAGTCGATAAACCCGTCCCATTATACATATATGCAGGGCGTGCTTTGCGTCAGTTTTCTGTGTCCCATTGCGAAACGCGACTGTATTCCAGCAGTCAGTCTATCTGGTATTATATGTATATGTAAATATTATTGTTTAACATACCCTCTTATTTTTCCATTTCAATTGCTTATTGTGTGTCCCATTGCGGAACGCGACTGTATTCCAGCAGTCAGTCTATCTGGTATTATATGTATATGTAAATATTATTGTTTAACACAACCCTCTTATTTTTCCATTTCAATTGCTTATTGTAAAATTTGCATTAAGATAAGTCGTACCTACACCTAGAAGAAATTAGTCGAAACCTTACAATAAAATTGGCCTCTTAAGTGTCAGTTTATAGTTACCCAATTAAGGTGTCGTTTTATTGTTACAACCTAATTAAACATTAATAAAATTTGGAAATTTATAGTTTTAGTTGTAAACTGGTATTACATATATTTTAGATTTTAGAAATTTTACATTATTCTTGTCTAAGATCATATTTTTTAATAAGAACTATGTCCCATTATTTTTACAAGAAGAAATTATTCCGCTGAAGTTTTAAATTTTTTGTTTGAAATAAACTTTAGAGTTTAGAATAAGTATGTATTTATTATGTTTGCAAATTCATTTTTAGTAGCAAGTTATTAAAAAATTATATTTTTAGTATCTATAGTGTAAAAGAAAAAACAGTAAACACAAAGATAATTGCAAATAATTTATTTGATAAAACAGATCATTTACATTTTTTGTAAATATAATAAAAAATAAATTAAACTAACAATGAAGAATATCCTTGAAGATCATGTTCTTTCAATAGCACAGGAGAAGCCACTGGTACATGTTGTTTAAGCAGAACAGGTTGGTGTACAGCTACTTGTTCTTTGACAAGTACAGGCTGAGGTACTGCCACTTGTTGTTTATAAAAGACAGGTTGTGGTACAGCAACTTGTTGTTTCACGAGGTATGGTTGAGGCACATGCACCTGTTGCTTAACGATATAAGGTTGTGGAACATGCACTTGTTGTTTAACTAGGACTGGTGATGGTACAGGTACTGGCACTGGTTTAGCTACTTCAACTGGGTATGGCTGTGGTACTCCTACTTTATATGGTACTGGGACTTCTACTCTAACAGGAACCTGCACCGGTACAGGCACTGCCTTCTCCACGGGAACAGGCACTTGCCTTTCAACTGGTACAGGATATGGTTGAGCAACATGAACGGGGACCGGACGATCTACTGGAACTGGTACTGCATGCGGTACAGGTACAGGTATCGGCCTATCCACTGGCACAGCATAAGGTTGACGAACTGGAACACCTACTTTCTTGGTTATAGTTGTATGGGAAGATTGTCCCAAATCAATTAGCGGCAAATCTAATGGGACTGATTTAATGTTCAAAAAGGGAGATGTCAACAGTGTGTGACGTTGTAGTCCGCCTAGAGAAAGACCGTGGCTTAGGCCGGTCTGCAATCCGACTGGTGATGATAGGGCCAGTGGTGAGACCAAGGAGTGGACATTTCCTTCCAACACTCCACGTTTTTCAGTTGCTTTAGTTTCTCCAGCGTATGTAGATGATACCAAAATAAGTAGGGACACCTGAGCAAAAAAATAAAGGACATATTAGATATTACAATAAACTGAATTTTTAAAATTATTTTCAGATTTAAAATTAGTTCAATGTATTAATCTAAAGTAATTTAGACTACATTAAAAATAAGATATCGTGTAAATAATATATCTTACCAGGATCTTCATGATGTTTATCATATAAGTCTTGACCTAAAAGTAATACTGACTTGATGTTTCTTCGATCCTTTTATACCGTGTTTAATAAACAATAAATTTAAAATTTCAACATTTGAATGCAACATCATTTATATTTTAGGATCTAAAAATAGTTTTATATAAGCGACAAAATCTCTAGATGACCTACGCAATACTGCTACCAAATTAAGAAATCTATTCAAATTAATTATAATTGATAAACGATATTTACCATAAGTTCATCTGTAGTTTTCGAGACCACATGTTGGTGTTTCTATTTATGTAAAGATGCTAAAACAATATTTATACAACGAAAAAACTAGAATCAAGAAAATCGGTAGTCGGTTAAAACTAAAGTTTTGTAAAGGTCGGAAAACTATTTATTAATATATGTATATTTTAAACCAAACTTAATAACCAAAAATATGTGTAACAAATATTACCACAATACATTATTACAGGATATTCAAAATAACAATTTCTAGAGAGTAAAACAAGAACAAGAAACTAAGAACAAAAAAAATAAATTAATAATGGAACCTTACAGTGCTGAATAATTTGTGCCGATGTTACTTACGCATTACATGTCGCATGTTTTCTAGTTTGCCTCGTTTTTTACCTATGCTTATCTTGCGGTCCTTTCTCATTCTTTGTAAGACCTTATTATTAGTAATTGGGACCTTCCAATAGATTCTTAGTATGCGTCTGTAGCATTACATTTCTAATGCCTCAAGGCACTCGCATCGATGCCTCGGACAAACTCCACGATACCACTCCGTATAAAAGAACGAAGAAAACATAACGTCTTTGCAAGTGGACATTAATTGGATGTTTTAGATCGTGACTACAAAAAATCTTTTTAATTTTGATGAATAATAACTTATCTTCTCAATCCGTACTTGTAGTTTTCTTGCAAAGTTAATGTGTTAATGCAGAGTGTTTTTGTACTTTTGTTTGTGCACTTTTCTTTGACATTCCTGGAATAAGTATCTATAGTCATTCTAGACTATTTACGAAGATAACGGTATTATGTGCCAAATTCATTATGTCTTCTAATGATATGTTATAGAGTATTGGAGACAGCACGCATCTCTGAAGTAATCAGCTATATATCGCTGTTAGTAATAATCGCAGTTGCTAATTCTATATCATTTCCATTATTACTTATAGTATTTCCAAAGTATCGTCCTCCATGTATCGTTTCAAATCCTATTTTAATTCAATTTTTTATTACATGTCTATAATAAGTATTATGCAACTGGGGTAGAGGGTAGAGTTGAAGGAAAAAGACCTAGGGAAAGATCTCCAAACCGTTGGGTAGATCAAACAAAAACATTGATTAACCAAGGGATACATGAAGCCGAACAACTAGCCCAGGACACAGAAGGATGAAAGGAAATCCTAAAAAAACTGTGAAGGCCTGATGGTGTCACCACATCTCAAAAGGAATTAGGACTGGGAGGAGGAATTAATAATAAATAGCTTTCCCTACATACTCTACGCTAAGAGTGACTTTAGATGCCCATATACATATAGAAAATTCAATAATTATTTATTGATTACAAAGTTCACTATTATTTTACATCATTTTATTAATCATATTAAGATCTCTTAGTATTTTTTGTTCTATTTTTTACTGCTTGATCTTTTATATTTCTATTAGCAATTATACCAACTTCATTTAAGCGTTACTTTCCTTACATACCAAAATTTGTTTCTTTTACTTACTTGTTGCACTCTTTGTCATTTTCAATTATGCTCTGGAATACTGGAAACTGCTTTCCTTTTTACCCTCACGGCTGTGTTTTATCCAGAACATTTTTGCTTAGGAGTGTATCACCAATGCAATTAAAGTGCATATTGCAAAGTGGTTTCACTCACTTTGCTGTTCTTTAATAACTTTTTAGCTATTGTATTGCAATTGGCTATATGTGTCTCTGATGTTGGCTGTAAAAGGGGGTATGTTTGCTGTTAAAGAGATCAGGAAATTGATTTTTTTTTCAGGTGCCAATTTTCATGGGCTTCTTACAGTTGTTGTTGTTACTTTGTCCTCGTAGATATTATTAGCACCTTCTGACCACTTAAGTTTTGCCATAGACCAAGGACCTTCTCTTTTACTACTTTTGTCATAATTGTTTTTTCCGACAAATGTAGTGCAATACTTTTTCCTGGCTGTCTGCACTGCTGCAAAAAGTCCTTTCTGTAGATTTCATTCCGCCGTTTGCAGTCTGATTCACGACCATGAAAGCTTTTACTTCTCGCCTATTCCCAGTTTTGTGAAACTAGCTACTAACTGATATAAAATTTTCTTGCCATACCTGGCTACTTTTACGTAGAGCGATGCAGTTATTAGCACGTTGAGTCATAAATAACAGTTGACTTCTTTTCGAAAACCAGTTACTTTTGAGAACCAGTTGCTTTTTAGCTGTTTGAAATCAGCTCCAGTCTATGTTTGCCGGTGTGCTCATTTCAAAAAAAAGGTACTACATCTGTAATACAGTTATTACAACTAAACAATCTACAAACACAAGTAGTATATTTAAGTTCAATTAACTTACATGATTATATTTGTTTGCGCCACTGAAAACCATATAAATACAAGTTTATTTAATATGCATAAAAGAATCTTAAAAATTATATTACGTTTTTAAATATAATAATAATAACAGTTATACTTATCTGCAATGTACATAATTTTGGGACATTATGTGCAATTTCTGAAATACGTACGAAAATTTTGGATATGTGATGAAGTAAATATACCAAACTCCCTCTGTTGCAAAAAAAAGTGTCAGTATAATAAATAAAGTAATCATTATCATTATTTTTCTGTATCAAAGTAATACATTTGTAGATAGATGTCCCATTAATGTTTTTTTAGTAATAATGATGTTTTCCTCCTTCAATGTATTTCTCCAGCGTTGCTTATGCTATCTTACTATCTCGCCCGTAACCATGTTCCTGTTGACCGTACCATGATTAAATAAATAATGTAGCAACAATAGATTTAATTGTTATTAGCTGAAAATTTGTTTTGTTGCAATTTAAAAGTACTTTTTAGATTATCTTGAAATATATTCTTTTTGAAGTTATACTTCTATACGCGCGTTCGACGTTAGAAATTTGTACGAGAGTGAAATCGGTGAAATCATTACATATGTAAGGTATGAGTAAGATGAGTAAGATTTTAAAATATATTCAATAGTTGAATAGCAGAGGTTGTATCGGTCAATAATTGGCAAATGAAAGCCGTCAACTACTTCATTGATTTATTCGAATACGTTTCGCTTTAATTTCTAAAATCATTATCAGTTCACTACAAATAAAAATAAAAAAGATTTAAAATATAAGTAAACCATTCAAAGGGTTCATACTTATAAAACCAAGTTAAGTTTTAATGTTAAGTTATCGTAGAGTTTTTATAACATCTAAAAACCTACAAATTGTTTTTGTAAGTATGGACCCTTTGAATTGTTTACTTATATTTTAATTCTTTTTATTTTTATTTGTAGTGAACTGATAATGCTTTTAAAAACTATTATTTATTTTTATCTTGCACAAACATTTTTTAGTTATACTTTTATCCGCGAGTTCGATGTTGGAAATTTGTACGGGAGTGAATCGACCAAATTATTACATATGTAAGATATACGTAAGAGTGAGACAGAAGATATATTTTCACTCTCTTTATTCCTCGTGAATAATTTATAATATTTGCGAATCTCGCGAATATTTTTAAAAATATATTTAATATTTATTAATAATATTATTTTTTATTATATTGTCATTTTTAAATACTTATGAATATTGCATTTTAATTTGTATTGTATGATTATATTGAATTATGTTGCAGTGTATTGTATTGTATTATTATATTAATAACAAAATAAACAATGAATTTTACAGCAGAGTATGTGTAAAAAAATTTTGCATTTAACTCCTTTCATACATATATGAAAGTAAAAAAATATATTTTCATTAAAATATATACCTAATTATTTTTCTCTTTCTGCTCTCTCTCTCTATCTCTCTCTCTCTCTCTCTCTCTCTCTCTTACCCATAGCATTACATATGTAATGATTGTGCAGATTGACTCCCATATAAATTTGTAACGGCGAACGCATATATAGAAGTATAACTTCTACCCACAGTCCCACTGGACTGCCACATCCGTTTTATATTCCTTAGTAGGGGTATCTTCTTCTTCTTAAGTTGCCTTCTCCATTACTGAAGGTTGGCCATAACTACAGCAAATTGCTCTCTATCTTGAGCTGTTCTTAGAATCGAATGTGTGTCCATACCTGTCCAGTCTCTTACATTATTCAACCAGGAGCATTTGCTTCTTCCTGGACCTCTTCTTCCTTTCACTTTCCCTTCCATGATAAGTCGTAGGAAGTTGTATTTTTCTTCTCTGTAAATATGTCCTAGATAACTCGTTTTCCTATTTTTTACGTTAAATAAACGTTTTTACAAATTGGTATCGGTATCCAGCGATAACGTAGAGTTTATTAGGAATTTTTTCATTCGATGAAATGCGGACCTATCATATTCTATACGAGCACGTATTTTAACCTCGTGGTCAAGATCGTTTGTTATCCAACAACCAACATATTGGAATCTTTGTACTGGTTCTATATGTTTGTTATAGATACGAATATTATTGTCGACATTTGGTGCACGTTTAACAGCCATTACTTTTGTTTTATTTGTGTTTATATTTAGTCCCAAGCTATCTCCCTCTCTGGTTATAAAATTCAAAAGTCGTTGTAAACCCTTAGCACTGTCCGCAATAATGACGGTGTCGTCTGCGTATCTTAAGTTGATTACGTTGTCTCCGTTGATTTTTATTCCTTCTTCAATATTTTCAAGGGCATTTTGAAAGATCTTTTCCGAATATGTATTAAATAACAGTGGAGAAAGTACACAGCCCTGACGAACTCCTCTTTTTATTGGCAATTCTGCTGTGAGACGATTGTCAATTTTGATCGACT